TTCTACTACAAAATAAAGCACCAAAACTTAAGAGAAAATCTCCATGACCTTATATGTCATGAGGACTCTCAATGAAAGCAGTTGATCAATAGATGATTTGTGGACAGGGAAAAGAGAGATCAGTAGAGAGGTTTATTTTGATCAAAATAGAATATATGCACACCTGAAATGCCATGGTAAATTCTTTGGTACAGATGAGGCATACTTCAAAAACAAGAATAACAGGGAAAATAAAACAGGATCTGTTGGGTTTGTATGTCAGTGGAAGAAGAAAGGCCAAATGGAGAATGACGAATGAAGATAAATGTAATCCATGTAATTTATTTGCACATATGAGAAAAAGAACATTGAAATTGGTTTTGGATGGGGGAGTGGAATAAGACAGATAGCAGCAGTAGGTTTACATATATGTAAATGCTACAACAAAACTCCCCTTGTACAATATAATATTCTTCTTGTTGATATTGGTTTATCATGTGGACACTGGCCCATTTCAAAAAGTCACGAGGTCAGGTGACAGTTATTTTCTTATAGAATTTCAGTTCAGCCACAATATATTTACAGTACCAATTTTAATGGCGTCTGTGGGATGCTGTCCCTGTTGTATCTGAAGTTAGTTTATCCTACAGAGTCCTCACTCCAACTTTAAATTGCTTTGGGAATTGGGGAACAATTATGATAACTGTTGCATAACAAATGTTCTCTTTTCCACATCTATGGAGTCAAGAATTGTTTGTTAAACCTGGCCATAATTCAGTATGCTGACATAAATACTGTGAAAATATACTTGGTTTCTATAGGAGGTAGAATAATTTATTACTACAAAGGTGAGTCTTGAATCCCAGAAACAGCACAATAATTAAACTTAATGAAGCCCAATCTATAACTACAGCTATTAGTCAATATGCATTTTGAATAACCTAAAGAAATGTAGGTATCAATTATTTTACCAAATTACTCTTATTAATTATTATTTGTATAATATGTGTAATCCTTAAAGCAATTTCTATATGTTGCCATTTCTTATTTATTTTATTCTTTTTTTTGTCCCTTTACTGGGGCTTGAACTGAAGTTCTGGGTGCTGTCTCTAAGCTTTTTTACTCAAGGTTAGCGCTCTACCGCTTGAGCCACATCCACTTCTGACTTGGTTAATTAGAGGAAAGAGTCTCAATTACAGTCTTTCTTGCTTATGCTGGCCTTGAAAAATAATTGTCAGATCTCTGCCTCTTGAGTAGCTAGGATTATAGACATGAGCCACCAGAGTTATGGCCACATTCTTTTTAAATATCCCTACAAGTGATAAGTATTTTATCACTACCACAAATGAGAAAACAAGCTCTTAAGTTATGAAGAACCAAACAACCTTGATTCTGGTCTGAGGTGCTTCCCAATTGTGTTAAACCCATGTAAGAGGAACTCCAGAGAGTACTCAATGACCCTGTACACTGTGCACGGAGATTACTGACATCATTGCTGATTATTTACAACAGACGGCAGTGGTTTGTAATTACAGAAAGATGCTAAAATTAAACATTGTTGGAAATGAACAATTTGAGGGCTAAGTTTCCCTCAACCTGAATCCACAAATACCACACAAGGAAACTGCTTAAGAACCTAGCAAGTAAACCATGGATTCAGTAAAACCTATTTACTATGTATAGACACTGTATGTAGGTATCAGAGGATGGGTGAGAGATCTAGGTATCAAGGGACGAGCAAGAGAAAAGTTGATTTCCGTGTCTTTAGTAATTTTCCATTATAGAAACTGACCACTATATAGTGCTTGAGCTGAAGAAACTAGAGGCAGCAAGACAGGTCTGATTTTAGGTGGATGTGAATTGTGAAGGAATTTCCAACTAGGAAGTGTCAGTAGAAGCAATTCAACTAGCCTAAGGTACATTGCCACTTTTGTCTTGGAGGAAAGATAATAAGCTTCTCATGTCTGGATCCCAAAGGAGTATGATCTGGAAGATCTTGTGTGCTGGGAACTTCATGTCTGGCTACTTTATTTTGCATCTGGAATTGGAGCAGTGAAGGAGCAGCGACTCTTCTGGTGTCTGTTACTCAGTGTGTTCTTAACTAATTTCTGGTCCCCACCTGAGGGAGAATGTTGGGCATCTTAAGAAGTAGTATAGAATAAATGTTAAATCATTGCTTCTTTTCTCTGAGCACTGTTGAGTGAGTACGTCTAGAGCATCTTCATGATTCTATAATTTTTCTAGGGCTCGAGCTGATTATCTTGTGTTTTGACATATGATTTCGCTAAAGATAGTAAGGTAAAAAGAATAGGCTTCGGATCTTGTGTCTACTTATTGTTATCAATTTGACTTCATCCTAGAGAACTATTTCTAAGCTAAATATGACATGTAAGATGCCACCATAAAATATGGCTAATTCAATGAAATGATTATATATTCCTTCTTCTTTTCCTCCTTGTTTTCTTCTCATGCTACCTTCTTCAATTTTCTTCTCTGCTTCCATGCCTCCCTTCTCCTTTCCTCTTTCCCACCATCCTTCCCTCCCTTCTTTCCTCCCTCCCTCCCTCCCTTTTTTCATTTCTAAGACAGAATGTGTATTCCCTTGTTTGCCTTTTTTCCTCAATATTTAAATATTTATAGAGTCAAACACAACGATGGTTTCAGGAAGAGCAACTTTCATAGTTGGTAAGTAATGACAACCATACTAACTGATATATATATATATATATATATATATATATATATATATACACGTACACATATACACACACATGTATATATATACATATATATACCATATATATCTTAATTAATTTTTTTTCTTAGTAATTCGTGGTGCCTGAACTCTGGGCCTGGGCACTGTCCCTCAGCTCTTCAGCTCAAGGCTAGAGCTCTGCCACTTGAGCCACAGAGCCACTTCCAGCTTTTTCTGCTTATGTGGTACTGAGGAATTGAACCCAAGCCCTCATGCATGCAAGGCAAGCACTCTACCACTGAGCCATCTTCCCAGCCCATATCTTAATTTCTTTTAGTTACATTTCTGCTAAAAAAAAAAAGTCAACAAAAAGAAACTCTTGTAGTGTCATCTTGTATGATGTTAGCTTGGGGAATGCTAAAATCAGACATGGGAGAGCTCTGTATGTTTTTTTTTCTCTTTTAGGTCTCTGATCAATACCCGAACTTGGCTCCTGCTGCTTTTGATTGCCGGCTAGCACTTTACCAACTCTGCCATGCCTCCAGCTCTAGCACTTGGCTTTCTAATGGCAGGCCTTTCCTCACAAAAGCAGTGACATTCTCTCCTCTGTCTTTGAGGTTTTCTCCATGGCCTGACATTGACTTTATTTCTCAGGAATGCTATGATACTTATTCAAAAAAGTCCTTCGTCAAAAATGGATAGCTGCTAATTTACTTACTCTTTATTTTGACTCAACTTTTCACTTTCATATGTTACTCTTCCCAGTTTTTTCCCCCAATCTCTCCACACTTTTAAGTCCAGCTTAAGGTGGACATTGTAGTAGATTCTCACTTATATGACTTAAATCTTATACATGTCTTTCTTTAAAAAAGTTTCTTATTTTAGCCTAAGATTCAGTAGGAAAATATAGCTGTAACATATGTCCATATGAGATTCCCCTGTGCTCCTAGTAGCCAACTGTGAAGTCCACAATGGAAACAATTTACATGAATGATTTTATTTATTCTTGCTAGGCTTGGAACATGATTGGTTTCAAGGTGAGCATCTAATAATATTCTCAAACTAAACTAATACAGAGTAGTTTGATATGATTTTATCCTGCTTTTGAAGCATCCTGTCCATTTTTTCACTATTTAACAATATGATATCATTCTGGTGCATCTTGTAAAACCCTAAAGAACTGTTGTCTTGAATTTTCCTAGGTTGTTACACTCATCTATATAGGAAGAAAAAAAGAATGTTGGTTTGAATGAGAAATGAATCTATAAGCTACAAGCTCAGTGTGTATTATGAAAGTGTTTCTCCTCCAGTGCTAGGGAGAGTGATTTCCTAAGCATTATCAGCAGCACTTAGGAAAAGGAACACTACAACAGAATCTAAAGCTTTTCAATATCCCCAGATGTTTTGCATGGACATGAAAATGATCATAACCTTGGACTGACACAAGCTATGTCAAAGAGCTAAGCTTCAAATTCTATTATTTACTACCTGATTAATCTCAGTGAAGTTCTGTCTTTCATGTGTGGAAAAATGGTGATAATAAAAAAATTTATATTTAGAAAGACATATAGTAGTTTATGCACAACTGTACGAAAGTTTCTATGAAATTTAGAAACATTCTTACTATTTTCAGGTTGGTTTTAAACCAGTAAATTATCAAGATGAATTTTGAAGCCACAGAATAAGCTGAAGCTTATTTAATGTTCTCCTAGATTTCTCTATCCTGTTTGTATGCAATGGTCTTACCAAAGGAACAATCACACAAGATTACTGGATGGACTGAAATATGAAGTCTATAACTAACTATACCTTGAACCTGCTATTAAATTTCAGGTGCTGCTTTTCAATTTATTATGATTAAATATTGGTAAAAGATTCAACTAAATTGACTAGTTACCAATCAAAACTCCAATCCTTGGTGAGTAAATATTTTCCCTCAACTGCTTCTTTTGGAACAAAAGAAGTCAGACTTTAAGTTGGCAATTGGCCATGAGTGTTAGAACCATCAATTACTGAATGTAGTTCTCAGCATTAAGAAAGGTTACTTCTGTATATATGTCTGTTCCTGGTTAGTTGTACGTAAGTTAGTGATCATGCTTAGGTACTTCAATGCATTCCAAATTCATTGCATTCTAATAACGCATGTCATTGAAGAGAACATTGTTAGAGCTTCAGACAAGAATTATTGAGAAGAACATTGTTAGAGCTTCAAGCAAGAAACTCCTAAAACCTTCTAAAAATGATGTTTCAGGTAGTTTGTACCATTTCTTTCTTTGCAGTGGGCATATTTTATGTAAAGTCTTTGATTGAATCCTAAGTGAATGACATGGATCAAAGTAATCACACATTTGTGTCAGAATTTCTTCTTTTGGGTTTTTCTGGGTATCCAAAGACTGAAATCATCTATTTTGTTCTGGTCCTGGTGATGTACCTCGTGATTCTAATTGGTAATGGTGTTCTGATCGTAGCATGCATCTTGGACTCCCGTCTTCACACTCCCATGTACTTCTTTCTGGGAAACCTCTCTTTACTCAATATCTGCTATACAACTTCCTCTGTTCCCTCAACACTGGTGAGCTTAATCTCCAAGAAAAGAAACATTTCCTTCTCTGGATGCACAGTGCAGATGTTCTTTGGATTTGCAATGGGATCAACCGAATGCTTGCTTCTGGGCATGATGGCTTTTGATCGTTATGTGGCCATCTGCAATCCTCTGAGATACCCCATCATCATGAGCAGAGAGGTGTATGTAGTGATGGCTTCTGTGTCATGGCTCTGTGGTGGAACCAATTCAGTTGTGCAAACGTCTCTTGCCATGCGATTGCCTTTCTGTGGGAATAATATTATCAATCATTTTACTTGTGAGGTCTTAGCTGTCCTCAAGCTAGCTTGTGCTGACATATTCCTCAATGTTATTACCATGATGATATCAAACATGGCCTTTCTGGTTCTTCCACTGTTGGTCATTTTTTTCTCCTATATGTTCATTCTGTTCACTATCTTGAGAATGAACACAGCCACAGGGAGACGTAAGGCCTTTTCTACCTGCTCAGCTCATCTGACTGTTGTGATCATATTTTACGGTACTATCTTCTCTATGTATGCAAAACCCAAGTCTCAAGACCCAACTGGGGAAGAAAAGTTTCAAACTGCAGATAAGCTCATTTCTTTATTTTATGGAGTTGTGACTCCCATGTTGAATCCTATAATCTATAGCTTGAGGAATAATGATGTCAAAGCTGCTATAAAATATATACTGAAACAAAAACCAATTAAATAACAGCATCAGGACATTCATGTCTCTGTGTAACTTGCACAAAAGTAGACTCAGAGCAAAGTCAATGAGAATTTTTTTGAGAAAACCTGGTTAGTGAGAGATATTTTTTCTGCCTTCAGTAGCCTTCCTCAGGTAGAATAGGAGAAATAGGCTATAGTTTTCTATAAACTTTGTAGTAAATCTTGCCCTAGATCTTACAAACACTTGGGATTCCATTAGAATTCTATCCTGTGATATAACTGAAATAAGTGTTTCTGATGAACCACACAGCAACAGTGGAAAACAACTATATGTCTGCATTGGAAATGAAGAGACAAGAGTATAAACCCTTCAAGCTTACAAACCACCCAAATGGGTTTTGGGTTGATTATTCATTTCTTCTAAGCCATGGTGATCTTCACTCACAATAAATGAACAAAGCTGATTCTAGTGTCATTTCAAGTTTAAATAAGTTGGAAACTTGCTAGCATAGTATCAGTCTCATACTGTCCAAAAAAATCAGAATTGAAGCTTAGACTCAACACTGAGGAATGAAATATACTACTAAATCTAACACCTCTTTCACTGTCAGCTAATCACTAGTAGAGCCAGATATCTGTTCCAAGATGTTCACCATTAATACTAACCGCATTTTCCTTTGCTGCTTCTCCAATATCTTTATAAAATAAAGATAAGCACACAAGAAAAAAATAATGGACTGTAAGATAATTAGTGGGAAGTGGTTCACTCCTGTCCCTAGACAACACAGAAAAGATTGTGGAGCTTCTGTTGTAGGTCTGAATGTGGTATAACTTGATGAACCCTTGAGGGTACAGATTAGCAGAATTAGTCAAGAAGGAAGAAAAGCCCACATTATTAGCCAAAAAGGGATATAAACATCTCAGATCTTTCTGAATTGTTCTCACAGGCTCAGAAAGGGCGCTAAAAACAGCAAGCAGTTGGGAAAGTGAACTCAGTTCTTACTCTTCTTCCCTGAGCTAAAATGCAGAGGTAAATGTTGCTTTTTCTGTGAATCCTTACTTAGGAGACCAGTGATGAGCATGCAGAAAAATCAGCTACCCCATCCACCATGCCCATGATTTCTTAGCCTACTTATGATTGCTGAGGCTTTACATCACTTTTCTGTACAGTTTTCCTCTTTTCTATTTGTTTTAGAACCACACCAACCTACCTCACTATTCATCTGCTCCATCCACTCTTTGTCAATCAACTTCCTTCAGGTTTATCCAGCTTTCTACCTAAATGATCAGATGTCTAAATCTTGCAGTTGTTTTTCTTTTTTTTTTAATATTTTGATGTTTCTATTATATATATATATATATAGTTGTAAAATATTGTACAGAGGGGTCATAGTTACATGAGTAGGGTAATGAGTACATTTTGTAGCGAGCATTGTTACCTCTTACTTCGTTCCCCCTACCATCACTTCCCTCCCCACCTCCCCAACTTCTCCCGCCCCCACTCTGACATTGTAAAGTTTGTTTTCAACATAGTGTCCTTTACATCTTGTTGTCACAGTGTATCAACCTGCATCTCCATTTAAGCATTCTGCTATATCCCTTCCCCTCCCCAAATTACAAAAATGTATATACAAGCTGAAGAACACCAGCATAAAATCCAGTGAAAACGAGTGATACTGTGGGGGAAGAACATATAAAAGAAACAAAAGAATCACAGAGTGCATTATAAGTACGTTAAAAACAATAGGAAGCAAGAAATAAACCACTCGTGTCCCTGTCTTGGGGTACTTTACCACAGTAGATGGAGCATTGTGACTGTAGAGCGTTTACAGCTGCAGGTTTCTCTCCTCTGGATTGGATAATATTGATGTTGATCCACCAGGCTTTTGACAAAGGCTCATCATTGTGGCATTTGAGCAGTCTATGCCCTTCCTATGTCCCCACCACACACCATCCATTGAAAACTATTCCAAACTCTAATTTTCTTTCAATTTTGGTCCATACTTCATTGTGTTGGTTGAATGCCTCCATTTCCTCTCATCTTTGGTCTCTAAGAGGCCATTTCAAAAGGAGCATAAAGATTTCCATTTGTGTTAGTTCTTTTCTAAACTCAGGGAAGTTTTATAATAGGCAAAGATGTCACACTTTAATTATGTCTCCTCAAACATACCTCACAACTTAAACTTAATGTAGGGGTCCTATGTAGTTAAATAAAACTTACACGTTTAGACGATATGATTCCTCCATTCTTCCATATTTAAAATATATGTGGTATCATTATTGTCATTATCTGATTCCTTTTCATTCTTCTTAAGAAAAATATTAGCAATCAGAATATTTTATCATTCCTCTCTATTTGTGGAAAGGAGTTTTAATTACTTCACACTTTTGTGATTCTAGACTTCTATAATCTTACAATATAAAAATCTTGACATATTTCTGCTAGTATTTAATGAATACATATTGTAATTTGTAGAATGTGTTTGTTTTAGTTTACATGCTTTCATAGATATTGCTCTTGATATTTTAAGTAAATTACGGTTTTTCAGAATCTGTGCTTTACAGTAATGTGACATTGATTGGAAAATTTTAGTCATAGTGTAACTATTACAATAATAATCTATTAACATTGGGTCATAATCTAAATAGTAACATTTATACAATAACTGAGTAGATTTAACTAAAACACTTTAATATTGAATCAATTTATCTGAATTTATTCCCCAAATGATTTGATTTAGATGTAAAAATCTTGTGATCTTGACATACAGATTCACTTTTGCCTATGGAATTATTTATTTTTTTGTACATTTTTATTGTAAAAATACTGTAAAGAGAGGTTACAGTTACATAAGCAATGGAATGAGTACATTTCCTATCAAGCATTGTTGCCTCCTCCTTTGTTTTTCCCCTATCATCACTTTCCTCCCTCCTCCAGGAATTATTTAGTATATTGTTGATTTGAATTTCTTTTCATTCCAATAAAGATTGTGCATGGCATCTTGTATGAAATAAACTTAACAAAAGAGCAAAGAGAATGTCAGCCAAAATGTTAAAGGTAACGAATTTAATTCACAGCAAGTATCTGTTTCCATTCATAATATCTAGATATTTTTTTAAAAAGATAGTGTTTTGTTTTTGTCATTGTTTAAGTTATTAAGATCCTTGAGTTAACTTCGCTTTGGTAGATACATTTTAAACTAGAAACCTCTCATATTACCTAAAGTTAGTTGTGTGGGTCTTTCCCTCTGTCAAAAGTCACAAGGGCAAGATAATAGTATTTTCTCACTGAACTTTTGTTCACAATATATTCTTAGCACCACTTTAATTGGGTCTGTAGGACTCTGTTCCTGTCAGACCAGAAGATCTTCACACTACAGATCCTTCTCTCCAACTTCAAATTCCGGTGGAAATTGGGGAGCAATTACACCTGTTACATAACAAGCATTTCTCTTCCATATCTGTGGAATCAAACATTGTTCTATGAACCTACCTTTAATTTAGAATGCTGACATAAATATTAAGCAAAAAAGAATTTAGTTCTAGTAGGGGGTGGATATAATCAATTATTTTAAGTACGAGATCTGAATACCTTGTAATGATACCTTTCATTCACAATTAAAACTACTAACATCATAATCCTACATGTCTATATAGGATTGTCTATGTTTTGTTTCCTGTGTATGACTTGGGAATCTTGTCTGGAAAATTCTTGCTCATTTCAGTGTCCTGAATGTTTTCTCTGTATTTCTTTCTTTCTTTTCTTTTCTTTCTCTCTCTCTCCCTCCCTCTCTCCCTCCCTCCCTCCCCTTCTTCCTCCCTCCCTTCCTTCCTTCCTTCCCTCCTTCCTTTCTTCCTTCCTTCCTTCTTTCCTCCCCCTACCTCCCCCCCCTCTCTGTTATCTTTATAGCTGGCTGCCGGTGGCTCACGTCTGTAATCCTAGCTGTTCAGGAGGCTGAGATCTGAGGCTCACAGTTCAAAGCCCGTCTGCACAGGAAAGTCTGAGACTCTTCTTTCCCCCATTTTTTATGGGTTCTTTTTTTAAAAAAATGTTTTTTATTGTAAAAATAGTGTTCAGAGGGGTTATAGTTACATGGGTAAAATAATGAGTACATTTCCTATCGAGCATTGTTACCTCCTCCTTCGTTTTTCCCCTACCAGACTATCTCCAGTCAACTGCCAGAAAACCAGAAGTGGCACTGTGGTTCAAGTAGTAGAGTAATGGCCTTGAGCTGAAGAGTTCAAGGATAGCGCTCAGGCCCAGAGTTCAAGCTCCAGGATAGACAAAAAACAATCTTTATGTAGTATACAAAAAGATTTCAATTCAACATGACAGGTTATGAGTATAGTGCATCTCAATCAGTGTCACCCCTTCCATCATTCTACCTTTATTTTTGTTGATCATGGGGCTTGAACTCTAAGCCTGGGCGCTGTCCCTCAACTCTTCAGCTCAAGGATAGTGCTTTATCACTTGAGCCACAGTACTACTTAGGCCTTTTCTGTTTATGTGGTGCTGAGGAATCGAATCCAGGGTCTCATGCATGCGAGGCAAGCACTCTACTGTGGAGCCACCTTCCCAGCCCCCTCCCATCATTCTTCACCTCAACTGTTCCAACTATATCCATCTCCTTATTACCTGGATCCCTTTTCACCTATGTGCTTTGAATATTAGGACTTCATTTTCTCACCTTTTTTCTCTCCACTCATCTTCCTCCTGCCCTTTGAGCCTCAAGCCCTAGACATAACCATATAGGATTGTTTTGAAGTCAAAGTGATTGCACACCAAAGGAAGCCATCAGCAGAGGAAAGAGATAATGTGCAGAATGGGAGGAAAATAGTTTAAAACTGTCTATCTGGAAAAGTATTAATATCCAGAATATACAAATAGGCCCCAAACCTCAGTGACAACTAAACAAACAAACTCAATTGACTAAGACACATTATACTCATGAACTGAACATGTTGCATGAAAACCCCCTCATACAACTACGTAAAGATAATAAAAAAGAAATAAAAATGGGCAATAGGCCTAAAGGGCAGTCATGTATCAAAAACAGGTTCAAAGTTACTAACTATGGGGGAAAGTCAAAGTTACAATGCAATAATGTCTCTCTGTAGTAAAAATGGCTAGCATCTAAAAAGACAAAAAATAGAAAGTGACAAAAATCAACAGTGTTGGTGAAGATGTAAAGGGAAGATGTAAATGATTAGTGGAATCTGAGTTAGGACAATCATAACTGAAAACTGTTGAAAAATGCTCCAAGAAACACAAATAGAACTATGATAGAATCCAGCAATCTCACTTCTGGACATATATTCAGAACCAATGGAAAACATACATGGAACTCGCACATACATTGCAGCATTTTTCATAATAAGAAATGGAAAGAATTTGAGTGTCAGCTGTAGATCTATAAAAGTGGGATATGTACAAAATGCAACACTCGTACCATTAAAAACTCTGAAAGTGTCATTTGTGAAAAAATGGATCTATGTAGATATATTTATGCTAAATTAAATTTACAGTACAAAAGTAAAAGAAATGTAGGATCCTGAGTCTTCCTTTCTGGTGAAAAGTTAAGTCTTCATGATCTAACTCTTCTTCCTGTACATTGGTAATGTTACAGTTAATATTTACCTTTTTGATCTCCATTTACCTGTGGAATTCTTTGGCCATTGTCTGTTGCTGACACAACATTTGTGTACATTTGTCAGTGCTTCCTCTAGGTCATGTCGGATGTGGAAAGAAAGTGGGGTTTGAGTTTTCCCTCTGCTTATTAGCCATGTGAATGCAGCTAAGAGAATTAATTTCAGGAGCAGTACTGGGCACATATGAAATAAAAGTTATTTTAGTAAATTTTTTCCATCTAAATAAACAAAAGTGGGGGCAGTTCTGGCTTCAGTCAGAATAAATAAAATTAAAAATTGGTTCAAGACTCAATATTCTCATCATGTTTGGGGATGTAATATTCTTTCATTTGTACCTCTCCTTCAACTTGGTATTACTTAAATAATTTTTGAAGTGAGAATCTCTCTCTAGTTTGGCTTCTGATTCCATGAAATTACACATCTCAGAGAAAAATTTTCCACCCCTGTCATACAATAAACTGAGTTTTAGATAGAAAGTTGAGCTAATTAACCTAAGAACTGGTAGCAGTTATGAAAAGACTAGGTTTATGTATGTCCCAAGTGGTAATTGCTAATGATCCAGCTAATCAAGCCATCTTACTTGTACATGTTACATATCTGTTCAGAAGAAACTATTAAAATCAAATTGCATTATTTCACCCCTGGAGGGCAGGTAAGGTCCTCTAAACACAAGATTTCTGTTTCTAATAATGTGGCTCTTCTTATTTAAAAATGTCATTTTTTCTGACAATAGAACCTTCATATACACCTATCATGTTAACCTTTCATTCATCCGCAGCAAAGTAGGTGCTATGAATCTGCTACTTTTAAATGATGTTCAGGCTGTTTCTTCTGGAACATTCCAATTCTCCCTTTCTCTCTTCCATTTTGACGTTTTCCAGATCTGGTCTAGAACTGAAATTGTTTCAGAACTCTCTCTTAACTTATTTCTCATTAACATCTTTCTGGGCATCCTTAAAAATATTCATTCTGACCCTATGATATGTATCAAACTCTTTCATGGTATTTTTCTGGTTTCTGTCACTGAAAATAACCACTGACGTGATGCAGGAAAACCTGCCTTTACTTGGATGCCAATAGGCTTGTGATAAAGTTAGGCTATTAGTAATATTGCACACATGTGATAGTGGGGGAGAGTTTTTGATATTTGTATTTTAATAGTACTTATTTTCTGAAGTACCTGGAATAGCATGATGTGGCCCTGAAGCTTGCTAGAAAATGTCTTTAGTGATTTTCCACATTGCTAAACAAGTCCACATAACATAAAGAAAACCTATCGCATCAGAAAAAAGTCTTAATTACCTGCCAATTTACACAACTGGTAAATTAACAACTTACTACTCAAAACGTGACACTCTACCTGCCACTCCATCTTTCCCTGGAACTTCGATAGAAATGAAGAGTTACAGGCTCTGCTCATACCTGCTAAAATTAAGTTTAATAAGATACTCAGATATATATATATATATATATATATATATATATATATATATATAATTGGAAATACTAAAATAATCAAACCTTCATTTTTCAAAATGGCAGAAATCCGGGAACCATATACTAGCTTTTGATGCTGTGATCCATCTCCCTTTGGTTCCTGAGATTTCAAGGATACATGTTTTGATCTGTATAAATTTCTTTGGTGTCCTGGGAACAATATTTGCTATCCTTTTGGGATGTTTTCTCTTGTTTTATTTTTAATGAATTTTTGCTGTGACTTTATTTGCATTTTCTGTCAGCACTCT